TTCTGCTTCTATGACATCCAAGGGGGCGCTGCCTGCCTTTGTACCTTCCACGTGCAACCTCCCCAGCCCACTTACCCACATCCATAAAACTTATCCTCACTCTTCTATCCCCACTGCTCCCGGCTAAAGCCTATTTATTTCACTTTCTGCTCAAACATCACTCCCTCAGACATCTTAGTTTTGCTTTTGTTTTTTAAACTTGGAATGATTTTCATTTTTCTTCTAAATACTTTAAAAGTATTACAAATGATTTAAGGTATAAAGACATCTAGAGAATCATTTAGTAAACATGGATGAAGCCACCACACAGTTTATTAAATAAAACCCATTTCTGTAGGTGCTTCTGATCATGATTTTATTTATTAAAAAGAAGCCATGAGTATGAAAAATAAGGAGACACCTTAGTGTTTTAATGAGTCAATCCTATTAGGCATCAGAAAGGGCTTTTCTGTGTGTTGCTCTGCACAGCTGACAGACAGCAGAAAGATGAGTTTCTCAGGGCTCAGGGTGGAGTGGGTGGGGACTGTGGGGATGGCTGGAGAGGCAGAGGTCAGTCAGGAGAATCCTGGGACCTGCGACCACAGAAAGGCTATATTGGAAAGGGGGTTCGTTTGCTCAGTCTCTGTTCCTCTGTCCCCCAAGTGTGTCTCCACACTGGACAAGTCTCAATGCCAACAACCAGGGTTTTCACATCCCCTTGGAGGTTGAGTCTGGATGTGAATTTGGTTTGCCAAGTCAATGCACTGCCGTGAGGTTCTGACCCAGAGGGAAGGCTGACACCGTTTTCCTATTCCTTGGGGCTGTGGGCTGTGGAGAAGTGAGGTCTCTCCTGGGTAGTACTGTGGGTGTCGGGAGACAGTGGGTCTCTGAGATCCTCTGGCTTACAGCTTCAGGGGTGTGTTCTAATATTCCACATTCCAGTGCTAGTATCTTTATGGGTCAATTCTATAGAGTTCTGGGCCTACCTTGGGGTCTGCTCCTCCAGCCCTCCTGACATTTTTGTAAGTGTCTGCTTTCCTACATTAGAGTCCTGGCATCATGCTGTAGGATAAGCACTGGACTACTAATTGAAAATTCAGCAGTTCAAGCTTACCAGCCACTCCTTGGAAACCCCTTGGAAGGGTCCTATGAGTCAAAATATTTTCCTGCATTAAATCCTCTTCTGCCTAAAGTACTTAGTGCAGAGTCCAGCAATGGAACCAGATACATAAGCACTGTTGTTGTTGGTGGTGGTGTTAAGTGCTGTTGAGCCAGTTCCAACACATAGCAACCCTGTATGGGGTCTCCAAGTAGCTGCTGGTGAGTTTGAACTGTCAACCTTGTGGTTCAAACCAACCTTGCAGTCCAGTGCTTTAATCCCACAACACCACACGAGGAGTCCACATAAGCATTGTTGTTGTTAAGTGCCGTCGAGATGGTTCCAATCCATAGCAACACTGTATAGAGTTTTCAAGGAGCAGTTGGTGGGTTTGAACCGCCAACCTTGTGGTACAAACTGACTTATCCTGCAGCACCACACCAGGACTCCACATAAGCATTAGGGCTGCAGTTTATCAACAAACTTCAACTCCCCATAAACAAGGGTAGGGACTCAACAATTAAAAAGCGGACATGTCCAGGAAGGACTTGTGGGAAAATGTGCATCTGGCAAAACCTCCACTGCTTCTGCCCAGAATTGGGTTTGCCTAATAAATTACCATTGCCATTCAACCAACCAAAGATATGATTAACAACAACAATGCCATCACATACACAGTGCTTGCTCTCTCTGTGCCAGACATAGTCTAAGTACTTTAAAAACATTTCACTTATCTACTCCTCAGAACAACCCATGAGACAGGTACAAATACCACCCCCAATTTATTGATAAAGCAGTGTTGCTAGCCAAGACCACACAGGAAGCAACGCAGCTAGGACAGACAGGCGATCTGGGGACAGAATCCATTCTTTAGCCACCAAGTAACATGGCCTCTTGCAGTATTGTTGTTGAGTGCCACCAAGTCAGTTCTGATTTATAGCGGCCCTGTATAGGGTTTCCAAGGAGCAGCTGGTGGGTTTGAACCGTCCATTTTTTGGTTAGCAGTCCAGTGCTCATCCTACAGCACTGCACCAGTTACCCTTCATTAAGTGGCCTGTGCCCCGTGCTTTCCATGAACTCTTGCACTCACTGCTCATAGGAACTCCATGAGGAGAAGCTACAGTATTCCCATTTCACAGATGAGCAAACTGACACCCATCGAGGGTTAGTGATCTGCTCAAATAGGTTGGTAAGTGGCTTGACAGACTCTAAAGTTCAGCTATATTTAACTGCATAAAACAGAGCTCTGTGACCTCAGAGGGACCATGCTGGGTCTCACATGGGGTAAGGGGAGGAGGCATATGAGATACAGGCAGGCTCAGTAGTGCTTTCCTCCTGAGTACTCATGCCCACCCCATTTGCAACTCACTGCCCACAATTCCTGCCAGACTTGGCGAGACTCCTTTGAGGGTAGTGGCCAGCTGCCCTCCTCTTTATTCCCTTTCTCCTTCTATCCTTTGAAGGTGCCTTCTGGTCACTCCATGATGTACTGGAAAGTTTTCCCTTCTTTTTTCTGGCCTCATCCAACCATTGTTATGGCCGTTGTTGCTAAGTCCCATCACGTTGGTTCCGACCCATAGAGACCCTGTATAGGGAGGGTTTCCAAGGAGCGGCTGCTGAGCTTGAATTGCTGACCTTGCGGTTCAAACCAACTTTGCAGTCCAGCACATTAACCCACAATGCTACACCAGGACTCCACCATTAAAACAACCAAATAACTACAACAACAAAGCCACACTCTACTTCTGATTTGATGGTTCCTAAATTCTCTGAGTTGTTCTACAGGATTATTTAGCCTGAGGGTGCTCATGGGAAGCTCAAATTTGTAGGCAGTGGATCAGAAGTGAAGACCATGAGGGCCCGCCCCAAGCTGGCAGTGAGGGAGTCATGTGAAGGATTATGCTTAGCCTCTGAAGCCTGGTCTCAGTCTCTCCTGTCACCACCCCTCCAGCTCTACCTCAGACCCCAAAGGCTTTGGGAAGGGTGGTGCGTATGCCTGACTTCCCTCATGAACCTATTCTGTGTCATTCCTCCAGTGTGTTTACGCTCCTCACAAATTTCCTTCGGTTCTAATTCTACCCCTTTCTCAAGAAAGAAGTGTGCACAAATTTACACTTGTTAGTGCCATCAAGTCAGTTACAACTCATAGAGACCTTCCATAGGGTTTCCAACGAGCAACTGGTGAGCTTGAACCACCCACTTCGGTTGAGTGCTTATCCCACAGCGACACACCAGGACTCCTAAACAATAGTTAATTAATCGGCATGTAAATCTCCACCTGCTCCTGAAGGAACCTGCTCTTCTCATAAACTCTCCTTCAGGTTCAGTGGAAGTAGCCTAAATACGGCCCAAGGATCTTCCTGACACAACTCTCTGATTTCTGTCCTCCACGGAGCCTGTTGGCGCTGGAATAAGATCTGAAACACATGCACAACCTTAGCAATAAGCATTTCTGCATGATATTCCTGAGGAAATGAGTCAGAAACCCAGGAAAGGGAAGTAGAGTGAACACAGATGTGCTGGGAGAGAGAAAGCAGGGTACTTTCTAGAGCACTGGCAGCCTGCTGCCTGATGGAGCCGGTTCCTCAGAAAATAGGGAGTGCTGGGAAGGAGATGCACCACCACGCAGGGGCTTAGATAACTGAGCGAACAGTGGGGCCTGTCATTTAGCACCGGGATGATGTGATGAGTGCCTTGCCTGTTTTGCAAGTTCGATTTAAATGGGGTAGGTGGTGGAGCAGTGACAAGCAGAACTGATTTTGAAATCACCAAGACTGGTTTTTTCTAGCTCACTGAGGATGTATTTCTGTTAAAAGCGGCCATTCCTGAAACATTGGGATGGACAGCCTAATCTGTCTAGAAGCTGTCCAGTGGATTCTGACTCACAGAAACTCTACCGGATATGGTAGAACTGCTCCCTAGGGTTTCCAAGGCTGTATGTAAATCTTTACTGAAGCTGACTGCCTCATCTTTGTCCCTCAGAGCAGCTGGTGACCTTGAATAGATGACCTTTGAGTTAACAGGCCAGTGCTTAGCCCATTGTACCACCAGGGCTCATTACACTCTGCCTGTTGTTATGGTTGCTGTTGTTCAAATGCTGCTGAGTCAGTTTTGACTCATAGCGACCCTGAGTAGGGTTTCCAAGGAGCGACTGGTGGGTTTGAACTGCTGACCTTGCAGTCATCCGTCCAGTGCTGATTCTGCAGCACCATACCAGGACATTCTGCCTAGGGCCTCCCTACTGTTAAAGATCTTCTGGACCTCTAGTGGCCCATCCTGATGGTACTGTCCTGTTTCAAAAACCTAAACCTGAAAGACAGTCTCCCTTGAGCTAGCCAAAGGAGCAACTGGGCTGGTTACTTTCCTCCTACCCAGAGAAAGAACCCCACGTTGGCTTTTCCACAACAGGATAGTTTTCAAGATGCCACCCTTAACTGGAAGAAGCCAGGTCAAGATTCCATTCAATCAAACTTTCTTGATATTACTCTCTTTTTCCTCAGGAGGACTGCGCTAAAGCATGTTCGGACACTTGTGCCCTCTTCCTTTCTATGCAAAGTAAAAAGCCAGTAGCAACCCCAAACTGATAAGATTAATCTAACAAGCAAATTATGGTGTAATTTCCTATGCTGAAACTTTGTAGTTAATTTAAAAAAAAAAAAAAGGTTTCATTTTCCTACTCATCTTATTTCACAGGAACATTTACCTGTTTCTATGAGGCAGTTTTTCTCCTGGAAGAGAGGTTCTGATTGGCCCCAAAAGACTGACAATTTGATGTAACGTAAATTTCCAACTTAAATTCATTTTCCCTTGGTTTCAGCAATTTTTAATCTATATATAGAGATATCTTTGTCATAATTGCATTGTTAGCTTCTCCTGGTAAATTAATTGTCTCGCATTGTCACTGAAAATAAGAGATCTTTTAATGGGTCTAGCCTCCCGACTGATTCCAACTCTGTTGTGCCTTCTAGTGTGTTCCAGCACCTTTATCCACAGTCACAAATGTGGTATTGTCTTAAAAGAGATCATCAAAACTTTGAACTTCCTCACAGAGAAGGAGGTGAGTAAGCTATCTGGCACTATCTCTCCAAATGTTCTGGTTGAGCTTTGGAGATGCAGTGGGTATTTCTTAAACAATGAAAACAACATAATGGCTTCTAGAGAAGTTGACAACTGCTACCAGAGCTGAGACTTCTCCCGGCTGGCACTTTTTTTTCCAGAGGGATTGTGGGAAGTTTTCTCCGTTTGAGGGGCCTCACAGATGCTCATCAAGGACTACTCTATACAGCTGGAGACTAACTCTCGCTCTCTCTTTCCTTCTTGTTCCTGGCTAGACCAAGAATGCATGCACCCAGTTGACTGTGCCTGATGCCTTTGCTGCTCCAAAGGTAAGAAACCATGCTATGTTTTGGCAGATGGGTGATTTGGGAGAATAAAAGCCACCCAGTTGAACAGAAACATCTGTAATGGAAAACAAGCCAAGCCCAAATGAACTCTAGGGTGTGAAATGTTTGCAAAGAATGAGAATTCTGATCTTTAATCTCAAGCATGTTTTCATGTTTCTGGTTTCACTTGCTTGAGAAGATATGTAATAGAAATCTTGGATTTTGTAACCCTAATTCAGCTCCAGGACAAGGGAAAGCTATGTAGGGTTTTGTCCAGCCCTTGAACATAGAGGGTACTCAACGAATGTGCTTGGTGAATGAGAGAATTTTTCTGGCCCATGCAGTTCTGAAAGCCTAAATGCTCTCCTCTCACAAAACCAGATATTGAGATTACAGGTTGAGGAAGCTTTCATTTTGTCTAAGAGACTTCCTATGGCAACAGAAATGTTATTGCCAGAGCCCCTCCTTTCCCAGCCGGGCCACCTAGCAATCCACTGGGCTCCGGGACAGCTGTCTGAAGACCCCAGCTTGCTCGTTCCTGCCCAGTCCCCCAGGCGTGCTCTGGAATTGTCCTACCGGATTGACCAGCCCTGGCACATTCCTGTTTCTGCCTGCTCGCGCATCTCTCGTTTTTTTAGCCTCCTGCGCCATCTCACCCCCACCCCTCTATCTGCAGTGGGAGGAGATAGATCTGACAGCTGATAGTGCATTTTCTCTGACAAACACATGACTACAGCCCTATCAATAGCTTTGTGCACTTCAGTTCCTGTTTTCATGGAAACACAAGACTGAGAATGAAAGCCCCAAAGCCTCAATTTACCAATGGTCCCCTAACCACCTGCTTCCCACGTGGATGAGAGTCAGTGACTTGTAGGATTGAGTGGTTGGGCAGGGTCTGGTACCAAACTTTAGAACAAGGCCCACTCTACTTGGTGTGAAAACCTGCTCTTTAGGCCTTAATCTGGATTATCTCATTTCATTAAGGAATATTTCAGGATATGAAGGACAAAATTACATATATCTATAGCATAAGCATTGGGCTGTTAACTATTCCTATCAACAGTGGCGTTTTTTCCCCAAACTGCTGCCACTCCTCCTGAATTAACAATCTCACTCTGAATGTTCTTTCCTTCAAAGATTTGACACTGCTTATTTATCTATTAAGATATGTCAGAACAAGGAAAGACTTACTTATTTTAAATGGCACAGGTGGTATGTAGGGGGTGGGAGGTAAGTACTTCTTTGTGGTCACAAAGATCTTTGCAATAATATGGATTCTACTGCACTTTGGAGTTGTAGTTTCTCCAAGTTGTTAAGCAAGGTAGCATCCTGCTCTTGGCAGTTTCTGGAGAGCATGCTGCTGGAAATCCCGAGCTCCTTAAGCAGCACCTACCCATATCACTTCTATAAGGACCTCTGGTAGCGTTATTGTTGTTATATGCTGTGGAGTCGGCTGTAAATCTTTATGGGAGCAGAAAGCCTCATCTTTCTCCCACAGAACAGCTAGTAGTTTCGAACTGCTGACCTTGTGGTTCACAGCCTGATTTGTAACCACTACGCTACCAAATCTCCTTGGGCTGCGAACCGCAAGATCAGCAGTTTGAAACTACCAGCTGTTCCGAGGGAGAAATATGAGGCGTTCTGCCCCCGTAAAGATTTTAAAGTCTCGGAAACCCTATGCAGGGTCGTTGAGTCGGAACTGACTCCACAGCACATAACCAACCAACCAAACACCCATATCATTTCTATTATACTGAAGTCCGTCTAAGGGAAGAGCAGAGACGAAGACAAACAGGCTGACTGAGCTCTGAAGGCTATCTTGGGTGGACCACTTGATGGAAGTATTTTCAAAGGGATGAAAGTTCATAAATCTTTCAAAAAAGCTCGTGTTGACTCTTAAGCAGTTATTTCAGGTCAAAGCAAAGACTTTTCTTATCTATTGCACTGGTTGCCTCAGTTTGGGCACAATTGGAGATGAGATCATCAACGCAACACAAATGGAACTGGGTTTTGACTCTCAATGGCAACAAGTTTCATTTGGATTTTTTTTTCGTTGAAATGAGGCTAGCTGAGAATCAAGTTAGGTTGCATGCTCCCAGGCTCCGGTCCAGTCCACTGTTTCCTGAAATCCCAGTGAGAGACAGGCTTCCTTCTGGCCTGAGCTTATGCCTCCTCTGGAATCTCTTTGTCCTTGGGCAGTTCTGAACTGTGAGGTAGGCTAGCCTGCCATAGTGTGCTTGCGGATCCACTGCTGGCCAAGTTAGGTGCAAGAGTGAGACAGGGGGACAAAAGTGACCTGAGTAAGAAGCCAAGGCAGCCATAGCTGCAGCACGAACGGAACTGAAATTTTAAGAGTTTTAACAACAAACTGTTCTTAGAATTCGTTCTTTAAAAGTGTTTCCATCTGATGGAGAGTCTTTTCAATTCCTGTTACCTTTAGAAAGTCTTTTGGAAAATATCTTCTGAGGGTTTTTTGACTATATTACACTGATCAAAACTAAGAGGAAGTTTAAGATCTGGACTCTAAGCCATAGTTTCAGGAAAGTCTCACTAGGCTTTGATGAAAAAACAAGCAAAGGGATTGTTCTCCTAGACTTCACGGTTCCGTATACAGCAACACGGGTATACCCCACATCTAGATACACAGGCAGTGTCTACCTCAACTTTGGCCTCACTACCTCTGGTGGTGGTCACGGTGGTGTGCCGTGGAGTTGGTTCTGACTCATAGCAACCCTGTACAGGGTCTCTGAGGCTATAAATCTTTATGGGAGCAGAAAGCCTCATCTTTCTCCCATGGAACAACTGGTAGTTTTGAACTTCTGATCTTGAGGTTAGCAGCCTGATTCGTAACCACTATGCTACGAGAGGTACTCACCTGCAAAGCCCAGTGAGATCAGTGACTGAAATAAGGTTTCTCCACTCCCAGAGTCCAGAGACCCTGGCACTGCTGGTACATTTTCAAACAGAAATTTCCAACTAGGGACAAAGAGAAACTCTCAGATAGTTTGTTAAGTGTATGTCCTTGCAATGGTTCTGTCCAGGGGCCATCAACCCTAACATGATAAAGGCTAACAAGTTTTTGTGGTCAGGGACTCTGGTGCCTCAACCTGGTTCTAGATCTTCCTGAAAAATTAGGAACTGTACTTCTAGAATTTAGCCTAAAGAAATAAGTGAACACAAAAATTTATCTGAGATTATTCTGTAACCATTACTTAGAGAGGAAAACAGTCATGCAACCAAAGGATGTTGAATTAGATAAATTGTGGTACCCACATGTATTGGGTTTCTCTGTAGCTCTCAACCACATGATTGTAAGAACTACTGAATGACTTTAGAAAATGCTTGTAATATATAAGTGTAAGAGAGTTATAAAATGCTGTTTATAATTGGTTCCTATTTGGGGGAAAATGTATTTTAAAACCTGGGAAGATATTAACCAAAATAGGAACATTATATTTCTCTGAGTGGTAGTATAATACATGAATTCATCTTTGCTGAATGTATATTGCATTTATACTAAAACTATATTACCTATATAATCAGAAAAAAATGGGATACAACTGTAAGAACTTTAAAGTTGATTGAACAGGACTCCTCACACAACCCTCCTCCTGGCCTGCCTCCCATTCTTGTCAATGAGCTCTTTGTTAGGTCAGTGTGGGGAACGAGCTGAGATGCTGCGGTTCTAGCAGGCTCCCGGGAGGTGCCTATGCTGCTGGTGCATGGAGCATACTTTGAGTAGCAAGGGTCTCTAGCAGCTTGAGGTAGCTTTCTCTATCTGAGCTAGATGAGGCTCATGTTCAGACCATTCTCCAGGCTCTCTGCCCTTGTTCTTCAGTGGAAACTGAGAGAAAACACCAGCCTGGGCTCAGACTGAGACAATCCTTCTCCATGTTCCTTTCCTGTTTCCCCCACGTCTCCCTTCCAAAGCCCAGCATCCCCAGGAAGAGCTTATGTGACCAGACCCACATCAAAGCTACCAGCATTGCTCCGAGGTCCTGACCCCTATACCTTAAAGATACTCTGTCTTAGGCCCATTCAGTTCAATGGCTCCCTCTCCCAAAGGCCTCTCTTGGTCTCTAGAGGCCAGATTCCAGAGCATCTTGGCCCCATCTGGGCACTCACTTCTAGCTTTGAGAGGAAATGTCTGTTCTCCTCAATGGACCATGAGCTTCTATAGGTATGTCTATCTCCCACGAAGGGCTAACTAGAGAATCAATGCCACTGAGACAGCAGTGTCTAACCAAAGGATGGCATCCATTTATTCAGCAAGCATGCATGGTTTCAGGGAAATCTGGACTTTTATAGGCATGGCAGAGAGTAGAGTCAGACTAAGAGCTCATGTAGGTAACTTCCACATGAAGAACAGCAAAGAAACAGGCATGGCTATGGAGACAGATGGTCTGGCACTCAAATCCCAACTATGCCACTTAACCTAGTTGGGCACTTTATTTAGGTACCGTAAGTTTGCTCCTCAGTTCCATTTGTAAAAGGACTTAAAAACCCAAATCCTACTACATTCGGCAGGTCTGAAGGAGACATGTAGGGAAAAGTCAGCACATCATTTGACATGACATTTGTAGTCTTTCACCCCTGGCATCTCTAATCTGTTCTGCTCCCCAATTCTAGACAAACATACTCCTAGTTCATCTAAAAGTTTCCACTAGTGAAGAAGAAGAAGAGCTTTTACTTTTGTGTTCCAAATGAAGTCTAAGATAGTTGAAATTCCTTTCAGAAAAACCCTCAAAAGGAAAAGAAATTGAGGAGGCAGTTGCTGAAGGGGCAGATCACTGGGAGAAACTGTTCACGGAGCTTCATTCATGAGGCTGGAAGATTTGAATACTTATCCAGAGCTGAGCAAACTCACCTTATCCAATTGTCCTCTCGGAAAGAAGAAACCAGAAGAGAAAAGATCGTTCCTATGATCTAACTAGAGCTCACCCATGGTTATCTGTGCCATTTCTCTTTCTAGAACACAACCGAGAAAGAAACCTTCTGCCGGGCTACAGTTGTGCTTTGGCAGGCCTATAAACAACACAAATGCTTGACCCAGTACCTGAGCGGCCTCTACAGAGGCATCAGAAGCATGACAAACGTGGTAAGTAGCATTATGCCGATAGCTTGGCTCCTGATTCTCAACAACATCCCTTGTACCTGTTTCTGTATTCGTTTTATTCTAGATTAATCAACCCCTCTACTTGCTCTTTCAACAAATACTTGTCGAGGCCCTACTAAGTGCCCTGTTGTTTAGGCACTGGTGATAAGACAAACAGGCAGAGTCCCTGCTCTCATGGGATGTTCTAGTGGAGGAGTTAGAAAAACACAGCAAGCATATAATACGGTGTCCAGTAGTGATAAGTGATAAGGAGCTCTGGTAGCGTAGTGGTTACGAATCGGGCTGCGAACCTTAAGGTCAGCGGTTCGAAACTACCAGCCGCTCCGCGGGAGAAAGATGAGGCTTTCTACTTCCGTAAAGATTTACACCCTCGGAAACCCTGTACAGGGTCGCTATGGGTCGGAACCGACTCGACGGCACTTAACAACAACAACAAGTGATAAGTGATATAAAGAAAAATACAAGAATAAAGAGCTTAGGAGCCATGAAGGAAGAGGGCTGATTTAGGAGTTAGTGACATCATTGCGCAGAACATCTGAACTGAGGGAGCATGTGACTAAGTGAAGACAGAACAGTCCAGATAGAAGAGACAGTTGTGCAGAGGCCCGAAAGCGGAAATGAACTTGATGCATGAAAAAATCTGAAGGAAAGCCAGTGAGGCTGGATGGAAGTTAGGATGGGGAAATTTAGGATGGAGCGGATCACACGTTGTCTTTGGATTCTGTTTCAAGTATGGAGGGATGAACCTGAGAGGTTTTGAGCAGGGCAGACTACAGTTTGAGCCATGTGATTCAAAATGATCACTCTGAGGACTGTGGGTAAACAGATTGGAAGCAAATGCCCTGTTGGTGAGACTATCGCAGTAACCCGGGCTAGAAATGGTGGCAACCTGGGCAAGGGTGGGGGCAGTGGAGGCAGTTAGATTTGAATTATAACTAAAAATAGAACCTCACAGACTTACTGACAGATCAAGTGTGAGGAAAAGAAGAGAGTAAGATGTGATCTCTTGGCTCTTGGTCTGAGCCCCTTGCAGAATGACTGGTTCTGGTTCCAGGAGTGAAACAGGGCTGGGGGCTCAGTGGCTTTCTGCTCCTGTAAAACTTTACAGCCTATACAGGCTCAATAGAGAATGTGGACAGGAGTAAAAAGGAAGTGACAATATAGAAAACTCTTTTGAAATGTTTGCTATAATATTTCCAAAGAAATGAAACAGTAGCTAAAGGGCCAATGTGGAGTGAGAGAAATTTATTTTACATTCTTTCAGCATGCTAATCTACCAGTGGAAATGATTGAATTGAGAGGGGAGAATTAATGGGGTAGAAGACAGGGAGAATAATTCCAGGACAGAAGTCCTTGTAGGAATGAGTAGATGTTATTTGATTCCAAGTGGAGGAACTTGCCTATGACAGGAGCAGAGTCATTCACTCCCTCCCGGACCTGTTGACTTATTTCTAAAACAAGGCAGTGGAACAGGGAAATGACACACACACAGTCTCTCCTTTCACCCTCTTAATGAGCTTATGAAGTAGGTATTGTTGCCTCCATTTTACTAAGGAGAAAGCAGAAGCTTTTGTAAATCAAGTAGATGGTTCTAAGCAATGCAATTACTATCTGGGCACTTCTCTAAGTGTGTGGAAAAATTCCATTACCTTTTAATTTCATTTTTCTGTGAACTTTGTGAAGCCTGCCAGAGTAGAGTTGAACGTCAAAGTCAAACAATGGCCTGGTGATAGGTTTCTGGAAGCCTTTCCACCTGAAGTGCTGCTACGCTGGGCAGGAGGACAGGTGGTCATGCAGAAGGCCTACTCTGGCAGTGGGTGAGGCTGAATCTGCACCTTCATGCTACTCTCTGAACAGCACCTAACTGTAGCCACACCTCTCCAGAGACTGTGGCACCCCTGATGGCAGATGGTTAGTGGTGATACCGTTGGCATATACGAGGGTAATAAGTACATAAAACATGCAAATCCTATTGCCCTAGAGGTAGAGTCAGATACCCAATTGAGGTAGACTTGAGCCCTGGGATGGTAATTATCCAGGTAGCAAGTGCCAGGATGGACGTGACTCAATTAGACAGTCATGATAGCAAGACTGAAATACTCATCAGTGAAAGCTAAAGAAATGTTTCTTTTGTAGACTTACTGTCCTGTGAATGAAAACAGGACGAATACGTTGAGCGAATTCTTGGAAAAGCTAAAGACGATCATGAAGGAGAAATATTCAAAGTGTGGAAGAAGACTATTTTAATTTATGAGTGTTTAATAGTTTTATTTTTTTAAGTATTTATATATTTATAACTCATCATAAAATAAAGTATTAATAGAATTTGGATGGTGTGGCATTCCTTGAATGGCATTTACTTGACAATATTTACTTGACAAAGGAAATTATGGTTTGCAACAATTGGGGCAATCAATTTAAGTTACTGAGAGACTGCAATTGATGGGGACTCCTGAAGAGCCAAAAAAGGAAAACTCAACTCTCAAGAAATCCCCTCTATAGTTAGGGAAGCAATGCATCACATGATTACATAACACAAACCACAGGAGATACAAATGGTAAGAGGACGTGCAGTATGGATCCCTGAGTGGTCATACTGACACCATATATTTCTAAATACAAAAGGTTATCAACTGGGTGTGTAGAATACTTGTCTTCCATTGCCACAAACGTTGTTTTACTGAGACTGTAGAAAACAAAAGCAAACTAGTAAATTGTGTGACTCCTCAGTGAAAAATATTTAAAGTCATTATGTAATGACTGTGCTGGTTATAACAAATTATGCAAAACATTGTGAAAAATGGGAATTACAGAACACTTAATTAAACTCATGTAGAACTTATTACACATAGAGCAAGAGGCAGTCATTCAAACAGAACCAGTAGACACTGTATGGTTTAAAGTCAGGAAAGGTTATATCCTTTCACCATACTTACTTAATCTGCGTGCTGAGCAAATAATCCCAAAAATTATATGAAGAAGAATGTGGCATCAGGATTGGAGGAAGACTCATTAACAACCTGTGATATGCAGATGACACAACCTTGCTTGCTGAAAGCCAAGAGGATGTGAAACACTTATTGATGAAGATAAAAGACCTCAGCTTTCAAAATAAAACAAAAACCTTCATAACTGGACCAATAAACCATGTCATAATAAACAGAGAAAAGATTAATGTTGCCAAGGATTTCATTTTACCTGGATCCACAACCAGCTCCCATGGAAGCAGCAGTCAGGAAATCAAACAATGTATTGTATTGGGCACATCTGCTGCAAAAGATCTCTTTAGTATTAAACAACAGAGATGTACCTTTGAAGACTACAATGTGTCTGACTCAAGCCATGGTATTTTCATGATACATGCATACAAAATCTGAACAATGAATAGAGGACTGTTGTGCAGTTCATCACTTATTATGGGCCTTATAGTTCTCTGCTTTGTGATGTACTGCAAATCCTAGCCTCTGCATGTGGCACAGGAGAAAGATGAGGTTTTCTGCTCCCATAGTGATTTATAGGGTTTCCAAGGAGCAGCTGGTGAGCTTGAACCACCAACCTTGCAGTTCACTATGGGTCAGAACCAACTCAATGGCAATTCACAACAACAATGATTTATAGCCTTGGAAATCCTATACAAGATCTCTATGAGTTGGAACAGAATCAAGGGCACCAAACAACAACATGCCTGTGGTTATGGAGTTGTCTAACATATTAATCCACCATTTTGGAGTTGTCTAACATATTAATCCACCACTCGTCTGTCAGTTTGTCATACTGTGGTGGCTTGTGAGTTGCTGTCATTCTGGAAGGTATGCCACTGGTATTTTAAATACCAACAGGGTCACCCATGGTGGACAGGTTTCAAATGAGAATCCAGATGAAGACAGACTAGGAAGCAGGAGTGACGAACTACTTCTGAATATTTAATCACTGAAAACCTGATAAATAGCAGAAAAACACTGTCAGATATAGTGATGGAAAATAGCCCCACAGGTTAGAAGACATTCAAAATGTGACTGGGGAAGAGCTGCCTCCTCAAAGTAGAGTTGACCATGATGACGCGAATGTAGTAAAGCCCATGGGAGAAAAGCCCATGGAACCTTCATTTGCTGATGGGCACAACTCAAAATGAAGAGAAACAGCTGTAAACATCCACTGAAAATCGGAACATGGAATATATGAAGTATGAAACTGGGAAAATTGGAAGTTGTCAAAAATGAAATGGAACACATAAACATCCATATCTTAGGCATTAGTGAGCTGAAATGGACTGGTATTGGCCATTTTGAATCTAATGACCACATGGTTTACTATTCCGGGAATGACAAATTGAAGAGGAATGGTGTTGCATTCATCGTCAAAAAGAACATATCCAGATCAATCATAAGGTACAACACTGTGATAGGATAATATCCATGCGCCTATAGGGAAGACCAATTAATACCACTATTATTCAAATTTACACACCAACCACTAAAGCCAGTGAGGATGAAATAGAAGAATTCTACCAACTTCTTCAATCTGAAATTGATTAAACATGCAATCAAGATGTATTGATCATTAC